GTTCCTCTATGTTAGTTAGGCTGGTCTCCAACTCCTGACCTCATGATCCGCCCGCCTCGGTCCCACAAAGTGCTGGGATTACAGGCGTGAGTCACTGGCCTAAGTAGACTTTTTAGTAACTGTGACCACCATCAGCAAGATAGAGTAGAAAATCCTAGCCTTCCTTCCTCTGCACGTTTTGCAACTATCTGTGAATGAAAATAAAAGTTGTGATCATTTATTTTGATTTTCAGTTAAATCTTCATTCCTTAGCATTTTAATGAAAATTATCTTCTTAAATATGCAAAACAACCATTTTGAAGTATCTGGAACTATGTATTTTTAAATTAACAGGGTGCCCAAATATTAAGACAATTATAGTTTTTTCAATTACAAATCTCCACAATGAAACCAACTAACAAGATTCTGTACTAACCTTGAAAAGTCAGTATACTCTCTGAACACAACTTCTTTACTATAATTCTATTGGTCACCACTATTATTAATATACCTACTGTATAATTTAGATTACACTCGAATTTCACTTAATATTAAATCAAGCTCAATAGGGAATTACAGAAATATTATAGTACTTTGAAATTTGTTTTGTAGTCAGTTACATAGTTAAAGCAGACAGAGCTCTAAAAGTAATTTACTCTGGCCAGGCGCGGTGGCTCACGCCTGTATTCCCAGCACCTTGGGAGGCCGAGGTGGACAGATCACGAGGTCAGGAGATCGAGACCATCCTGGCCAACATGGTGAAACCCCGTCTCTACTAAAAATACAAAAAATTAGCTGGGTGTGGTGGCGCATGCCTGTAATACCAGCTACTTAGGAGGCTGAGGCAGGAGAATCACTTGAACCAGTGAGTCAGAGGTTGCAGCAAGCCTAGATTGCGCCACTGCACTCCAACCTGGTGACAGAGCAAGACTCTGTCTCAAGAAAAAAGAAAAAAAAAGAACTCTACCTTCTGTAGAAAGTGATTGAAATCTTAAGAGATTACAGGTTCCCTTGGAACACCATGGAAATTTTCCTATGAGCCAGAAACTGAGTGACTTACTTTCAACTTCTATTTAAAATTATACTCAGGGTCGAGCGCGGTGGCTCACACCTGTAACCCCAGCACTTTGGGAGGCCAAGGAGGGCAGATCACTTGAGGTCAGGAGTTTGAGGCCAGCCTGGCCAACACAGAAAAACCCCGTCTCTACTAAAATTACAAAAATTAGCCATCCGTGGTAGCGCATGCCGGTAGTCCCAGCTACTCGGGAGGCTGAGGCAGGAGAATCACTTGAACCTGGGAGGTGGAGGTTGCAGTGAGCCCAGATCGTACCACTCCACTCCCACCTGGGCAAAAGAGCAAGATTCTGTCTCAAAAAATAAAAATAAAATTATACTCAGCCCAAGGCCATACAAATTGCAATGCTATTACAAAGATTAATATATATTTATACAACAGTTAAGAAGCACTTTAATGATGCAGATGAGTCGGAGGTTTCTTTGGGGTAATGGAATGTTCTGAAGGAAGACTGTGGTGGTGGTTACACAACTCTGTAAATACACTGTCATTCAATTGTACACTTAAAAAAGGTTAGTTTTATAGAATATACATTCTACCTCAATAAAACTTTATTTTTCAAGACACCTTAAATGCCCAGTAGTATAAAACCTAAGATGCTACTCTAGGTATGAGAAGTACAAAAGCTATAATGTTATTTTATATAACAGCATAGCCCACCATCAAATGCTTAATTAACATCTTCCCATTCCCTCTCATCCCCACAGATTTATAGGGCTGCGAACATGCACAAATCAAGTTTTTAATCTCTTTAACTATAGAGCCACTGTTAAATGCAGAACAATGCATTTAGCATGCCATCATTTGTGTACATACTATTTTTTAAAGGCTACCCTAATTTTAGGTAAAATATTCAGATCTTCAGCGTTACATTGGTTCCAATTAATTTGTGAAATGAAGTTTCAGTTCTATTAGAAAAACTTTAATCAAAGTCTACGGAGCACTGCCTCAAGGTATAACTGACTTTGAAACTCATCAATGGCAATTCATGCTTATAGCCAAAAGTGTGTCTTCTGCCTATATGGGGTTAAGAGAAGGGGAAAAGAGGAAAATTCAAATCACCTGTACATTGAAAAACACCACAAAAAAACAAATACACAAAATGTTAACAGCTCTCATCTCAAGGCAACTTCTAGTTTTTGCTGAGTTCCAAAATTCCCTCAGTGACCATGCATTATCTTCTAAATTGGAAAAAAACTAATTAAAATTAAATTGCTTCTATGCTAAATGGAAGCCGGACTCAAAACACTACACAATATATTGTATAATTCTACATACGTAGTGTTCTGAATAAGAAAAACTATGGGGACAGAAAACACTCTAGAAGCTGGGGTTGAGGAATGGTTGACTGAAAAGGGCATGATGGAAATTTGGGGGCTATGAATCTTGATAAATGCTGACACCACCACAGTTAAGGTGACAGTTAATCTTGATAACTGTCAGCATTTATCAAGATTCATAACCGTACACCAAAAAAGGTTCATTTTACTGTATGCAAATTAACCTCAACTTTTACATTCTAATGATTAAAAAGCAATAAATTTCTGTGCAATAAACCAATGTTTTTCAAGTCAGCAGTTTAATAGGATAAAAAAAATACTGGGGATCACCGAACTACTTCAAGCCCCTCATGTTAGAGAGATTTGTTCAGGGGTCCATTGTTAGATTATGGTAAGGTGAAGTACAGACCTAGAATTCTCATCTGTTTACTTCAAATCCAGGACTCTTTTCCACTTCTCCATTCTCTTTCTTCCAGAGTTCTGAAGACCAGAGTTTCCACAAAGTGCATGTGCAAGTGGATTATGGCTGGACATAAAATTCCAAATGTTCAAGCGTACATGGTTTCAGTGCACACACATGTGGCTAGTGTCCTTTCCAACCTTTGCCAAAGTACCAACTCACTTTGTGAGGCAAAATGAGTAATGGAGTCAAAGTCTAAGTAGAAACAAGCAGTAGACTGTAGAGTATGTATAGAGATCAATAATAAATACTTCAGAGTTCCAAAATGGGGACATTTGATTCATTGTGAATTGACTGGAAAAAAAAAATACCGTGAGAAACCAAAGACTGCAAACAATCTTTACTAAAACAAATTATCTTCACCTCATTAAAAAAAGGAAAAAAGTCTTGTATAGCACGCTATTGACAAATATACTTTGCTAAAGATAGTTGTCTACCACATGCATGATGCAAAACCATGAATTAAAGCAAAATAATCACTTTATTTTTTCCAATGTGCAAGAAAACATGCATACCTCCCTTACACCAGAACTATATAGCCAAATAGTGAGAATCTAAAACTTTTAGGGAAAGGGGTGGGGGGTGATGCAAAACGACTTATCTAAACTTGACAGGAAAAACATGGATACGTCTTGTCTTTGCGCCGTCTTACCCAGAGAACTGTATCTTCAGTCGTCCAGGGAAAGCAACCACCAGGTTTCAATAACAACAAAAGTCAATTAAATATGTACTCAAATTTCACCTAGGTCATTGGTCTGACATCAAGTCTTAAACCAAGAACGTTAATGTAACTACTCACGCATTAACATAACGTCTCATTTCCAACAGACACTGTTCCTACTTTAAGTTTACCACCTAAGGAGATTTAAACTTGCAAAAAGCTTAGGGGGATCCTTTATACGCTGTGATTCCCCATTATGCTAGTACCACGTGACAGTTAAACCAAATCCACAGCGCTAATCAGTAAACTAAGAAAGGAAAAACAAAACCCTGAAAATAGAAAATCATGGCCAAATAAAATAAAAACCCAAGGGATAAAAGGTACCCTGAAATGAAAACCTGTGAGAATTCATTTTGCATACGCACAATACTCATGTATTAGAAGAAGGCCCTTCATAAAAATAGCCAAGACTCTCAAACATTTGAGATGCTGGCTTAGTGAGATTGACTGACAGACAACAGCTGGGGAGGTTCTGTATTGATCTTGTAACAGCCTGGCATATTTCGGGAAAATAAGGAGAAAAGAATGCTATAGCAGCAAAAAATAAACTACTAGGATTTCATTTTCACATATGTGAACGCTGAACGCCCCACCAAATTCCTCTACTCTATTCCTCTTACGTTTTCAGCCCCGATTCCATAGTAATGCATGCCCTTCCTCCCCAAGCAAACAAACAAAAAAACCTCGTGGGGGAAAAACAAAACAAAACAATACCTCCCTCCAAAAACAGGAGCAGTGATATAAAGAAATTAGTCACCTCTCCACCTATCTCTCTGATCCATTTCGCATTTTAAATCTTACTTTAAAGCACACAACTCTCCTTTTCTTCCGTAATAGAGGGGCTAAGGCGCCGCCCAATTTCCCAGGCCGCAAAAATATTCCAACCCGCCACAATTCAAGGTTTTCTGCTTTTCTGTCTTCGATCCTAACCCTCAATCCGGTACCCTCATTCTCCTCAGGCACTAAAGATTTGTTGGCCCAAAACTCAAACACAAGGGTGAATTCCAAAGATTCCGCGATACACCCGCCCCAGGGGGTGGGGAGGGGTCGGAGGAGCGGGTTGAGGAGCTCCCGCCCGGCCCAGTTCGAGGGGCGGGGGAGCGGGTGTGACCACACAATCCCACCGCCTCCTTTCACGACTCCCCCACCTCCCAGAGCTCCGGCCTGCTCCGAGGGAGCTCCCGCCGCCCAGCAGCCACTCAGCTGCTTCTCACCGGCCCGCCAAGAACCGTACTAGCAACCAAGAAGGTTCATAACTAGGAAAATGCAAGAGGCGTCCGACGTGTTGTTTCAAAACATAACGGAGCCCCGGCCCCCCAGACCGTTAAACCGCGGGTGGAGGGGGGAGAAGCAAGGAATCCAGCGGCCTCGAGCTTTGGCCTGGCCTCCTTTCCAACCCAAACCTCACTTTCTGGGACCACCAACCCTCCCTCAAATGCACTCCAGCCCCCAGAATACTAGACAAAGTGGCAAAACCGTCAGTACCTTGTAGAAAGCCCCGTTGGAGCCGCGAACCTCCACCGTCAGCTCCGCCATGTTGGAACCGCAAAGGCCGCTGGGAAGAGATTCTAGAAACTTTCCAACCAGAGGGGAGGAGGGGGGAGGGGCGAGAAGGAGGCGGGGAAAGGGGAGGGGAAAACAGGGCGGGGATTTGGATCCCCCGCCCCTCACCCCTGGGGTCTCAACGTGCCGCCCCGACTCTCCAGGTGGGATCGCTGCGCACCCTGCATCACTGGCCTTGAGCTCCGCCCGCCGCCGTCTACGTCGGATTTGCTTCCCGACACAATCGCCCGACCTTTGTTGACCCGCCCCTTGGTCCCCGCCCCACAGTGCCCGCTGTTCGCACCGCGGCGGCCGAGTAGTACCTCCAGCTGCCACTGCCCAGGCACAGCCTGTCCGGCACATCGGCATTCCCCAGCCCTCCGGCATCCTGACCTTAAACTTCTGGAAGTGCTGGCTGCCCTGGAATGGCTTTATCATACACTTTTTGGGCTCCAGTTGCCCTGGGGAAGAGGGACACCTACAAAATAGACATACTATTGTGCCCCAAGTTATTTAGCCCCGCTCTTTCTTTAAAAAAAGTTGGGCCTTCTCTTGACTCAAATTCCACAGTTCCACATCCACTCAATTTGGTCTAGCCCTCTCCCCACCTGTTACCACTTTAGCTATTTAAAAGTCAAACTGAGTATTTTCAGTGCAAGTCAACTGTGTTCCCACCCTAGAATAGAGTTTAGGTGAATTCGCCTTATTAAAAGTAGTCAGACAAACAATAGAGCAGGAGACCACGTTTTCCTCTGCTAAATGTATGCAAAGTTCCACAAATAGGGTCAAAGCAGAACCATCTCCAGTTTTGTAAGCATAACAAATACTTCGGGTATAGATTTTAACAACTTAATACTGAAGCTTCTTCCCTAAGCAAGGGCTTTGGAAATAATACTATAAGTGCTCCTCGTTATACTTACATTATTACCATTTTCGCAAAAAAAGTTAGGAAAGGATACTTTGCTAACATTCTGTACTTCCCAGGAAATGCCCACTGACCCAGTTTTTCAGATTCTTAAAAAAAAAAAAAAAAAAAATGTACATAACATTTTATGAGCACGTCTGCATCTCTGAAGATTCTGGGGGAAAATGAGGGCTGTGAAAGTGCTCACTGTTGTCATGTACAGGATATTCTCTTTATTTATTTATTTATTTAGAGACAGGGTCTCGCTCTGTTACCAAGATGCAATGCAGTGGCGTGATAAACGTTGCAGCCTGGACTTCCCAGGCTCAGGTGATTCTCCCACGTCGGCCTCCCAAGTGGCTGGGAGTACAATATTTATTGATTTGATTTGATTTGATTTATTATGTTTTTTTTAGACAGAGTCTCGCTCTATCGCCCAGGCTGGGGTGCAGTGGTGTGATTTCGGCTCATTGCAACCTCTGCCTCCTGGGTTCAAGTGATTCTCCTGCCTCAACCTCCTAAATAGTTGGGATTACAGGCACACACCACCACGCCCAGCTAATTTTTGTGTGTTTTTAGTAGAAACGGGATTTCACCATGCTGGCCAGGCTGGTCTCAAACTCCTGACCTCGTGATCTACCCGCCTCTGGATTACAGGCATGAGCTGCCGTGCCCAACCTATTTATTCACTGCCAGCCTTTTTTTTTTTTTCTTTTTTTTTAAGACGAGATCTCTATCACCGAGGCCGAAGTGCAGTGACACAATCATAGCTCACGGTAACCCTGAACTCTTGGCCATCCCACACTGGGCTGGGATGTTCTTTTTAAAGTGTTGATCACAATCAGAAAAATGTAAACAAACTAAATGCCTATCAATGAGTAATAGCCACCATTTATTAAGGGCATCTTATGCTAACACTTTATATCGTATCTCATTATGATCCTTCAGAATTATAATGTCCTATTTACTTTTTTAAAACATTTTCTTTAGATATAATTCTCCCATTTATAGTGTACAATTCAGTAGTTTTTAGTATATTCACAGATTTGTGAAACCATCACCACAGTCAATTTTAGAACATTTTCATCACTGCAAAAATAACCCCACACCTGTTAGCAGTCGCTCTAGATGTAACCCCAACTCCCCAGGCCCTAGGAAATCACTAACCTGTTTTCTACCTGTATAGATTTGCCTAGTCTAGATATTTAATATAAATGAAATTGCAGAATATGTGGTGTTTTATGACTGGCTTTTTTTTTTTTTTTTTTTTTTTTTTGAGACAGAGTCTTGCTCTGTTGCCCAAGCTGGAGTGCAGTGGCTTGATCTCCGCTCACTACAACCTCCACCTCCTGGACTGAAGCGATCCTCCCACCTCAGCCCCCAAGTAGGTGGGAGTACAGACATGACCTAATCTTTGTATTTTTTATAGAGACGTGGTTTTACCATGTTGCCCAGGCTAGTCTCCAACTCCGAAGCTCAAGCTATCCACTGCCTCCACATCAGCCTCCCAGAGTGCTAGGATTACAAACGTAAGCCACTGCACCTGGCCTATGTAATTGGCTTCTTTCATTTAGTATAATATAGTTTCATCCATGTTGTAGAATGTATTACGACTCATTCTTTTTTGTCAAGTATACTGATGGATACGCCATATCATTTCATTTATTAATTAATCAATTGATAGACATTTGCATTGTTTCTACTTTTTAGCTGTTAGGAATAATGCTGCTATGAAAATTTCTGTATATGTTTTGGTATAGACAGATGTATGTTTTGTTTCTCTTGGGTATATAGCTAGAAATGGAATTGCTGACTCGTGATAACTCCATGTTTAAACCTTTTGAGGAACTGCCAGATTTTTCCAAAGTGGCTGCATGATTTGCATTCCCACCAGCAGTGTATGAGGGTCTGAGTTTGCTTTTCTTTATGGGTTCCCCTCTCCTCTCCTCCCCTCCCCTCTCCTCTCTCCTCCCCTCCCCTCTCCTCCCCTTCCCTTCCCTCTCCTCCTTTTCTCTTCTCTTTTCTCTTCTCTCTTCTCTCTCTCTCTGTTTTGGTTTTTAGTGTATTTTTGGTTTGTTCTCAATGTGATTTTGAGTATGGATGCAAAAGTTCCACTTGGGCATAAGCCAAAGCATCTCATACTGCCTGAACTCTAAAGAATAAATATTGTCCCTCTTCAGGCCTTGCGTAGAGAAAACATTTGAATTTGGAAACCAGACAACACTTCACTACTTCTTCTAGGTAGACTTCGTGATTTCAGTTAAGCAACTGAGCTCTATAGCAACCAGTAACATGTGTAAGATCAGACAAGCTCTAAGTGTCAGAACTATGATTTGAGCCCTCTTACTTTCCATTTCCAAAGCCACATCAGTGACTGTTTGCAGCCTCCATGTAATATTCAAAATGGGACATTACACAAACTTTAAAATTTTGATGTAGATCTATTTTCATCATCATTAAAAGATGTTCACGTTAAAGAAGAATGTCACAAAACACCATACATAATCATATTAAAATATATATGCTGTGTGTATATACGTATATAAAGTCTGAAAGTTAATATTTCCATATATTAATAAAGGATATTTAAAGAAGATGGCTTAATGATTTACATAAACTATATAATGTCTATATTTTTTGCCCCATCTGAATTTTTCGCAATGAGCATCTTACCTGATCATCAAAAAAAAGATCTTTTTGGCTGGGCACAGTGGCTCACACCTTTAATTCTAGCACTTTGGGAGGCCGAGGCAAGGGGATCACCTGAGGCCAGGAGTTTAAAGCTAGGCTGGGCAGCATAATGAGAGCTCGTCTCTACAAAAAAGACAAAACTTAGCAGGGTGTGGTGGTGTGCACCTGTAGTCCAGGCTACTCAGGAGGCTGAGGCAGGAGGATTGCTTGAGCCTGGAGGTTGAGACTACAGTGAGCTGTGTTTGCACCACTGCATTCCAGACAGGGCAACAGAGCAATACACTGTCTCAAAAAAAAAAAAAAAAAGAGATATTTTCATTTTTAAAATAATATACCATGGAATATTCTACAACAACTAGCAACGAAATTATAGAAGACTATCTACTGATAAGAGAAGATGTCTATAACCGTAAAAAGTAGCTTATATGTGCAACCAATTTTGTACAGGATACATATATGTATATTGCATGAAAATGTATTACAAAGACTTTACCAAAATGCTAACAGTGGTTCTCTTAGGGTAGTGGCATTATGAATGTTTATTTCTCTCTCGCTCTCCCTCTGTGTGTGTGTGTGTGTGTGTGTGTGTGTGTTTAAATAGGGATTGAGGTCTCCCTGTGTTAACTAGGGTGATCTTGGACTCCTGGGCTCCAGCAATCCTCCTGCCTGGGCCTCCTAAAGTCCTGGGATTAGAGGCATGAGCTACCATGCCCTGCCTTCTTTGTGAGTTTCTATATTTTCCAAGTTTTCTGTATTGAAAAGCAGTACTATTTCTTTCTTTTTTTTCTTTTTTTTTTTTTTGAAACGGAGTCTCACTTTGTTGCTCAGGCTGGAGTGCAGTGGCCTGATCTTGGCTCACTACAGCTTTTGCCTCCTGAGTTACATTATGTATTCCTAGCATTTTGGGAGGCCTAGGGGGGCAGATCACCTGCTGTCAGGAGTTCCAGACCAGCCTGACCAACATGGTGAAACCCCTTCTCTACTAAAAATACAAAAAAATTAGCCAGACGTGGTGATGGGCACCTGTAATCCCAGCTACTCAGGAGGCTGAGGCAGGAGAATCGCTTGAACCCGGGAAGCAGAGGCTGCAGTGAGCCGAGATTGCGCCACTGCACTCCGAAAAGGAAAATACTTTTTTAAAATGAAAGTAAATGCAGAGTGAAACCTTGTATACCCAGTTACTAACACTCATTAAGATTAAGGTTTTGATAAATTTTGTGGCACTATTTTTAGCTTGAGTTGTCTTAATGTGATACTGAAACATGCTATCATTTTAAATCTTAAAGTATTTCACTTGAAATTAATTTTTTTTCTTTTAATTTAAGACAGAGTTTCACTCTTGTTGCCCAGGCTGGAGTGCAGTGGAGCAATCTCGGCTCACCGCAAACTCTGTCTCCCAGGTTTAATCGATTTTCCTGCCTTAGCCTCCCGAGTAGCTGGGATTACAGGCATGCACCACCACGCCTGGCTAATTTTGTATTTTTAGTGGAGACAGAATTTCTCCATGTTGGTCAGCCTGGTCTCAAACTCCTGACCTCAGGTGATCCGCCCACCTCGGCCTCTCAAAGTGCTGGGATTACACTTGAGCCACTTTGCCCAGCCTTGAAATTAATTTTAACTTTTATTTTATTATTATTTTTTGAGATGGAGTCTTGC